CCAATCGCATAATGCCTTTGGAGATAAGAATAACTCACAAAAATATTTTGAAATGCATAAATATTATATGATTAAGACTGAACAAGTAATAACTATCTAGAGCTCTGGCCTACTTGAGCCTTACAAATTTGCTCTTAATGCTAAATCAAAACATATAAAAAAGTCGGTGGGGTCTTAAGCTCTCTCCTATAGTCTCGAAGTCCTCAAATCAGTCAGCTAATCGATTATAAAATACTTCTCAAATAGATAAATATGCAAGTATAGTTTGCATCCCTACAATCCGGTTGATCAGGAACAGACAACGAGTTTCAGAACTGATATCGCGTTAATAATTTTATGTGGAAACTATGACCTATATTGGGTGGCGCTTCGGAAACGATATCTGATGTTCACTCAAATACACATATTTGAAAGAAGTTTGAACGAAAATTATAAGGTAAATAATCTATTACTTGAAATTAATTCTTACTTATAATCAGCGAGAAAAATAATTCGTTAAATAAGAATCAAACCGCATATTATCTGGTTAAGACATAATAGAGGTTCGACCAGTGGATCCTCTATGAATCGAATTCATATTCAATATATTATTTTCAAAATATATATATTGTATGATAATATAATATATTAATTATGAAAATTACTGCTAGCTACAAGTGCGACACTTCATTCCCTCTTTAGACATGCTGTTAAAGACCAGTGTGCTCATAACAAGCAATCACTTGAAAACCAACGAAATCCGTGAATAACAATAATGCCAATAATATGCAACCAACTTGTAAACAACTACAATACATGGGGAAAACACACAATTTACTACAGTCGAGCTACTTACAACATATCGTTGCAATAAATATGTAAAATGCTACTTGAAATTGTTGCCAACTTGCAGACGATCGCTTATGAAGTAAAATATAGTTGTATACATATGTAAGCATATAAACATCACAATAGCGACAATTGCGCGTGAAGCTATGCGACGCGTCTGCCGCAATGTTGCACATGCGCACACGGTGTTGTCGCATAAATAAAATTCTAATTGGTGTGTCATGCGCGCTTTTGTTGTGCGATAAAGCGCTGGGTAGTTTAAGCGGCTGCCAAGTTATGGCTTACAGTGGTTGTTGTAGTTGTCGTTGTGGCTGCATGGCTGCACAGTTGATTGCATGTCATATAGGCGTTGTTGTTGTTGTATGTTATTGCTGTGTTGTTGACATTTAGCCGACAGTGTCATATTGTATAAAGAAATATGTAATGAGCCTCTCCGTTCATCCTTCTCTGCCCTTCACATTGACTAGTGCTCATACATTACTTTTCACAATTGTTTGTTGGTGTTTCTGTTTTTGTTGTTGTTGATACTTAATCATGTTATTTAGCTGTAAAGCAATTGGTTAATCGTGCGACATGATCAAAACTGCAGCGCAGCTCGCCGTGTGTCATTCGATATGCACTTCGGTAAGTGTTTGTATGTATGTATGTATGTGTTTGTGTGTGGTAGTAAATTTTGTGTGCCCTACGCCGTGAACTCGATGCCTTTATTCGTCTTTCTTTGAGCTGCTATTAAGCTGTCGCGTTCGTACTTATGCGTGTTCGGTGGTGTGCGCCGCCTTCAGAAGTGGCAACATTTCATTGTCGTGTTGGCAACTTGTTAGATTTATTGTTTTGTTTTTAAATTTTTATACCCTAAACAGAGCATACTAAGTTTTTAACACCCACAAGGAAATGTTAATGTTAGGCTCTATAAAGTATAAATGATCAGTGTGACGAGCTGAGTCAATTTAGTCATGTTGGTCTGACCATTTTATATACGCGAACTCACGCCTCAGTTTTTGAGATAGCGATCCGGAATTTTTCACACGTCCTTTTCTCTTCAAGAATCTGTTCAATTCTCCGACCCACCGATATCGAACTACTATACAATAAGATATAGCTGCCATACAAACTGAACGAAATCAAGTGCTTGTATGGAAAACTTTTATATGTGAGAAGATATTTTCACTGAATTTGGCATAAATTATGGTCCAAGGCAATGGCACATTCTTCGTATACATATATCGTTCAGATCGAACACCTATAGCATATATCTGTCATAAAAACTGTTCGAACAAAATCAAGATAAATACATTTTTATACACTTTTATGCTAAAATAAATGCACATGTGAGGGGTATTTTAGCTACGGTGCAGCCGAAGTTAACGCTTTTTCTTGCTTTTTTATATTTTTCATTTTTTTCTTGTATATTTGTATGTTGAACCTTTATAATATTTCTTTTTTTATAACCATAAAGACACATATGTACACATTTTTACACTTCATCCCGCTTGCTCTCCCTTTTTCGGCACATCTGCCCAGCTGTCAGTTGTTCTTGGTCAGCTTGCTTTTGTCACATAATCGTAAATTCCACTGTCCACAAGCGATAAGCTGACAAATTATGACGTACACATCAATCGTTTTATTTATGATTTCATTAAATTATGATTTTTTGTCGAGTCTTTTTTTCATGTTCTGGAAGTTATGAGTGCCCTTCTTTAACGATTTAATGTGATCGGCGTGAAATCGTTTGTTTTGATATGTTCGCTTTTTCAACGGCGTATGATACTAATAAAGATTATAATTTTTTTGAGGAATACAAACATATATATGCGCTCTTTAAAATACTTGTAAATTTATAGGCATACGATTTTTAGGTTAGAGTTTACATGATAATACATTAATAAAGTAGCCCCAAAGCATAACGAATGCTACTGAGTTAAGATTTTGACTGCTTATGTGGCATGAGGAGTTATTACAGCATTACATTTTATAAATGGGTTCTACCGTTATATTCTTATAAGCAATTAAGTATGTCAAAAAGTTGGCTTTAATGTGCTTCTCAGCTTTGATGTTACGCTCAAAATATTTTGTTGCAAAGGGAGTTAGTATTTTATGAGGTTTTGGATTATAAATTGTAATAAATAGCTCCAGAGTTCGGGTAATAGTTGTTTGATCTCGAAACTTGAGACATTTTTAGGTTGTTCGCAAATCAAATATCACATGATTTTGAAATTTCGTTCTATCAGTGTTTGCTTTGATTAGAGAAGTGGTATCTCTATAGAAAAACATACAAAATATATACTTTTACAAGATACTGAGTCGTATAGTCGTATAGCATAGGGCAAAAAATATGAATTTGGCACACGCGGTGTTACCTAATCCTAATCTTGGTGCTTTTGAGCTGCTTTAATAAAAAAAACATTTATTTCTTGTGCCAATCACCTTTGAGGATATATTTTCCAATCCTTCACACACACAAATTCACGGATTTCCGATTCTATGCATGGTATATCTACCAGATAAATACAGTTTTAAAACTCAACATCAGGACAACAATGAAGAGAAACATGTCACAGGAGCTAAACTATTATATGAGTACTTGCTCAAAGAAGCGATAAAGGTTGAATGCCTTCCAAATTTCGGAAATATTTTCGATTGAAAAGGTAGTAGACTCTAGACAAACGCATAATAGTCGTAATCTGCATTTGGATAGCCCGAAATGCTTCTTCTTCCATGGAGGGGGGAAACCGAAGCTTTATCTCTTTCCGTCTGGCTTTTTATGCTTGGAACAGGGTATATTAAATCTGCCTCAAAGTTTGTAACATCCAGAAGGAAACGTCCGAGACTCTATATAGTATACATACATAAATATAAATGATCAGCGTAACAAGCTGAAGAGAGCCATATCCGTTCGTCTTTCTGTATGTATATGCATAAACTAGGCTCTCAGTTTTTGAGATATCGATCTGAAATATTGCACACGTTCTTGCTTTCTCAAGGAGCTATAGGATGTAACTGATCGGTCAAAATCAAGTCTTTGTATGGCAAACTTTTTTGTTTGACAAGATACCTTGGCAGCATTTATGCTATAATCTACAAAGATATTGTGCGGACCGAACCACTATAACTTATAGTTGCCCTACAGACTCACTGGTTCATATTAAGTTCATGTATAGTACACTTTTTAATTTGACGAGATATCTTCACGAAATTTTGCACAGAAAATTCTCGGAGGCAGCGTTATAAACGCTGAACATATTAATCAGATCGAACCACTATCACATATAACTGCCATATAATCTGAGTGATCGCAATAGAAATAAAATATTTTTATACCCTTAACGCTATACACCTGTGAGGGGTATTAGAGCTTTGGTGCGGTTGAAGTTAACGTTTTTCAGATTTTTTTGTTATTTATTTTTTATAACACCTACCCACACAACAACCGTCTAGTTCGAATTATAAGTTTAGTATATACAAGTAAATTGTTAAGGACATGAAAATTTTTATGAAGATGCCAGCAATGTTTTACAAATATTTGCTTTCAATACAAATATTGCAGTCTGCGATAAAGTTAATCTATTTACCCGCTTCAATACAAAAAACGCTCGAATGCTATTTATTGACTAAGTACTTACAGTCACAATAACAAACGTGGGTAAAAGTTATGCTCAACATATTTACTTTGAAAGCTCTGAAAGCTAATAAAAAGTTGCTTAATGTTTATCTCGGAAAATATTTGTTTTTTGAGTCGTTTATAATTAAAACTCAGGTCTCGTTCACACGATGGTATATACTTTATATACAAGTAAGGTGAGTAATTTCAAAATTTATTTGTTGATTAGCTTTCTAAATTTTTAAGAGTTCCCTTGGTTTCTAACTGCAGAATAATTATCTGTATGGTTAATGCGAATTCTCGCTTATATATTGCAGAATTCAGTATAAATAAAGCAATGGTTCTAGGCATAAAAGAAGCAAAAGGAAAATATAATGGGTTTTATACATCTTTATAATCTTTGAAGGATATTTTTCTACTTAACATATTTGAGTTCATACGTGAACGCTTTACAATGAATTTAACAAAACAACACTAATATTAGGATACATTTACTTTTTTTCCTATTTCTTTTTGAAATTTACTTCAAACTTTATAATCATTTCATCAAGTGATTTTTCCTGTAATAAACCTAAAAATACTCAAAATTGTTTGACATATACGTCATTCTCAAATTTTTAAATAAAAATTAAAAAAAAAAAAATTTATAATCAAATTATCCTCGTAAAATTCTTTTAAAAACGCTCTAACCATTTACTGTGATTTCTAAATCTTGTTAAACCTTTTTCGGGCGAATTCAAAATCTTCTTGAACATTTTGTGTTTATCGCAACATTTATAAGGCCTTACAATCAATAGCTTGCGGTAGTTTTTTGTCTAAGGTTCCTATTTTTCAACTCTATATTGGGCGCTATGTAGATAAGTTTCCAAAAAATTGATATACATTTATACGACTCGACAAAGGATTTACCATATTGGAAGGACCTGTTAGTACAACTGCTTGTTTTAAGCAGAGGTTGGAGATATCTCCTGATCCTAAGCAAAATAAAAAATTTTAACAAAAGATGATAGTTAGACAAATAGCGCGCAAAGTGAAGGTGTAAATAAAATCATAAGAGCAGTTTGAAACCTTGTTAATTCATCTATCTCCATATAAATATGTATGTATATTTTTAAGTTTCCTAGCAAAATATTTCATCCAAATCTCTTAATCACATTTTTCACGCTTCAGCCTTCTCGAATACAAAACCTATATGCATGAGCATTGACGCAGCTAATTTCTACATTGTTCGCACCCTTGTCCAAACTTCAAAACCCACACCGCGGCTACGTGTGATTATTGCGCAGCTCAATGTCAAGTGCTGGGGTAGTAATTGTCACCCTTCTCACAGGATTACTTACGCCTCAAAAGTGCAAATAATAAATAAAAGATGAATCTAATGATTTAAATTAAAAATTGAAAAAAATACAAAACTTTACAACCCCTGCAAAGTGATTTTTGCAATAAATGCACGGAACAGCTTAAAGGGGCTGGTGCAAGAATGAACAAAAGGGGGACTTTTCTGCGACTAAATTGCCATAGAAGAAATTTAGATTTTTTTGTGAAAAAATGAGAATGAACGACTGCATAAATCGGTTTAATTTTGCAAGAATAAAAAATGTAAAAATGAAATAATAATTTAGGCATAAAGTGTGACTTAAGTGCAGGCGGATTGATCTACGCAAGTGTGGGTGCAAAGGAGGGTTGCGTAGAAGCCTTGCTGCTTGGTGTTTCCGCAGCAGCTTTTGCACACAAAGCAATACGGAAGTGTGACTGGTCACACATTTGTGACACAAATTTTCGAGATAAAAAAAGTACAAGTGTGAAGATTTGCAAAAAGTATTTATATACAAATGTACATATAAAGAGATTGACGCATATTTAAATTTTACGTTTCATCAGCTAGACACAATACGCAATTAGAGAAGGTACCATAGAATTTATTGTATTCCTTTCTCTTGACCTTATGGTTCAGGAAGTGACTGACGAGTGACAGGAAGTTGAGGTAAGAGATAAAAAACTTCAAATTTCTATCGTGAGATACGAATGTGAGAAAAAATGGTTGCAAATACATGTACATTATGTATATTCATATACATATACGATTTTTAAATTCAGACCTCTTTTTCCCAGAGAAAATTGGGGCATCAAATTCCTTAGCTTAAGTTGAATATAATATCAGATTGTCGTTGTATAAAAGGTTTTTGAGAATTCGAGGTTGGGAGTCATAAATCTCTATACTCCATACTATACTTATCGTGTAGTCCTGGTAAAAGCTGCTCCGACTTGAATTCAATTTTTAACCGAATCTTTTCAAGTTCTTACATAAAGTAAACAACGGCTGGAGTGCTATGGGTTCTCAAAAGCACTCAACGGTTCCATCAGATGGCTTAGGTCATTAGACTTTATCATATGATACCAATTGACTCGGACAATATAAACGACTGATAACTTGGTTCATTACTTCTTCGTTTAGCCTTGACTTCTTGCTCCAGTATAGTATTTATCGGTTATTCTAGATAACAGCGACTCAATCCAAAGTGGGATTGTACTTGAACAATATTATTATAGTATCTTCCTGGCTGAATTAGCTGTCTTTAAAGTAGTATGATTAATTTTCTGTTTCATGATTTTAAAGATTTTCATACAAAGAGCAAGATAAGAAATGAGATACTACTTAAATTTGCTTTGGATTAGTCGTTATCCTGAATACCTGGTAGCCTAATTCAGTTCTTCTACGGATCAGATGCTTTATTTTCAGTTTCATTAACAGTATTCAATCTTCTTTGGACTCTTCTTATAGTTGAATCATGAAAAGTGACTACATCTCTCTCAACTCACGGATAGAGGCGACATGCTGTGTTATATTGTGAAGGAGAGAATATGTCGGGAAGTTATGTGCAGTCTTTGCTTTGGGTATTCTTTACGTCATACCTACTTTAGCATAATCTTATGCCTGCAAAATATTGAAGCTATTGTCCCAATCAATGTTCTTATTCATAGAATTAAAAATCAAATATTTGAAAATATGCATTGCCTTCTCGGGAGTGCTTTGCTCTCACACTTAAAATCAAAAGCTATGAATTTGATGCAAGATTGAAAAAAAAAAGTTCGCAAAGTGGGTGAATGTGCTCAGTTATCTATGCACAATCACATAATATATAAGTATTCATGTGTATGTTTTGGAAAAAAGACACACCCAACAGAAATTCGCAACCATCGTTGTGGCAATATGCGACGGAGTTATTGGTGGTTTGGCATAAATCATGCTTGACATGTGTGCAACAGCTTTCAACACTTGTGCACGTCTGCATACGGCAATAATAACAACACACTGCATTGCAGTGCATAACACGCACACATACATACATCGTACACACATGTGAACGCACTTAACAAATTTTCGAAATTAATTTTTAGACAAATTTCACGCTTTGCACGAAAAGAATTACAGGTGACAATTCAATTGAATTCGTTGATTTGCCACATATGTATGCTCAGCGAGGGAATGTGTGGCGGCAGATGGGTGCAAAATTATGCAAAATGGCAGTAAAGGCAATTTAAAAAATTTTTAAACTTCGTAATACCCTTTAAGCCCACAAGTGCCCCTATACCCCACCGAGTTCATATGCCCGCACATTGTGCCATAGAGTCACAAAGCGAGTGTTTGTTTTTTTGCATAGTTGGCTAACAATCTTCAGCCGCAGATTGTCAAGTTTGCGTCACTGAACAAATAACTGTATGTGTTCCTATGTATGTATGTATGTATGCTTGTTTGGAGTTAACTGTGGAAGTTACCAAAGGTCTTACAACTTTATTACAGAATGTTAAAAATTTGTTTTTCTAAACCAAACAAACACTTTGGTGCTGGAATTTGAAAAGGCATGACGTTAGTGGAGTACTCTAGTGAATAATATACTATATTTTTAAACCAATAAATAAATATATGTCTATTAAACATTATTACATCCTTTGGTAGACGACGAAGGACAGTTCGAAATTGTTTTAAAGTAAGTTAAAGTGAGTTTAGTTTTAATTTGTATAAGAATAATAGAATTTTAGTGTTCCATTCACAATAGTAATTTTTTTTCTGTATTATATTTTCAAGAAATGCGACGAAATGAATATTAATATTATGATTGTCATATAACACTAACATCAAGCTTTAAAATGGTGTCTTATTTATAGTTATTGATTCCTTACGAAAGCAGCAAAAAGGATATAACACAAAAAGTCGCTCACAACTGACATAATACTTTGACAACTATATTTTGCTAAATTCTTTTGCCAAGCTTTGTCTTTATTTTGAAATTTAATATGTGCAGCAAAGAACAGTAGGAATAATAGTGAAGAAGACAACATAAATGGTCAAATAGAGCGCCTTTGGGAACCTCTTTTATTCGTAAAAGAAGAGGGTCTTTACTCAGAAATTTTACCAACTGATCGAATTGTTAAGGTAGTAAGGGATATTTACTTTTTTTATATTACTGTACAAGTGTAAACAGTCGACTAGGGCCCAACGTTTTCTTGTAAAACTATCTTGTTTGGGTATTATAGGTTTCAGAGTTTGATAATGATCCTACGAAAGTCTTGCTGGTAAAAGTTCACATCGAAAGCTCAACGTGAAGCACACAGAGAAAGCATAAAATAATCTCTGAGACCGAGAAGAGAAATGTAAACATTTGAACTAGATACATTGAGTCGATGGGATACTCATTAAATGTCGTGAAGATTGGTAGACATATTAACCGATGCCCATCGACTACAGAAGAGCAAAACTTTGAGACATGGTACTTCTGGTGTTCCCATGACAGTCGGGCGTATATAACTAGAACAGATTCAGATTTACATATAATCAGCCAGAAACTTTTGTTTAGCCACCATAACCCAAAAATGTTTTTTGGTTTTTTTAAACTGGCACAACAACGACTACAACTTTTACATCTCGGGTGAAAACAGTTTCACAAAGGTGAGGAGTCACTAAAAGGTGCCAGAAAAGCACGATTCTTTAGTAAAACTTAATAACTAAATGAGCCCAGTAATAGTCCTAAGGTCCTAAAAATCTAAGTGTCAAAGTACACCAAAGGATTGAGATGGTGATTCTTCGGGGATGTTATGAAAAATTTAATTACTATTAACGGTATAAGAGTATTTACTTTGTCAAATATCAAAGCAACTAAGTGCCAAAATTTTAAATGACTATGAATACATTATATATATACGTGTATATCTTATTTCACATTCAAGGACCTAGGCTTCACATAACAAACTCTAACGCACACGTGTATTTATATATTTATACACCAAAAATACATATAATTTGCATATTCCACAACTTGAGCTCAACATACTTTCACCAAATTTAAACGTGCAGTCCCCGATGGTATTCGTTTTGATCGCCTGTCCAGACATGTTCATATAAATTTTATATTACAAAACTTTAGACTGACCATCAAACAAAACAATGTGTCTGTACAAACATTTCGCATATTTGCGTACTTCAAGCACGCCCACACAGAGGAAGGTCATCATCACAACACCTTGCTGTCCAGCCCCTTATGCGCATATAGTATCTCATGGATGTTGTATTAGTGTTTTTGTGTACAAAACGGCCTGCAGAAAGGTAGTTAAATGTAAAAAAGCGAAAATCAAGCGTAAAGTATTGTTTTTGTATTATGTTTTTGATTTTTGCTGGAGAAAGATTCGTCTATTTTTGGTATGTACTGTGGAACTGTGTACCATTTTTGTTGAGTATAACAAATATCTACTAAATAGTTTAAATTGACATCTTTAAAATTTTTGGTTACGTCAAATTATAAAGCTTTCACTTCTATAGCACTTTTCTTGTTATAGAGCTTTCATACAAATAAGCGAGGAAGGTCAAATGATAATTTTATTATATTTGCATTCAAAATTTATCAACAAATTTAATTTTAAGAATGCTTTTATTAAAGTTGAGCTTTCACTGCTAAGGAACTTCCATAGAAATAATCCTAAGCAATTAGTGATTCAATATTAAAATTCCAATATCTTAACAAAGTTTTTACTAACAAAATGCGTAACGAATACTCCTGTGACATAGTGACTGTGAAAACAGGCAAGTAAGAACACAAATCGCACAAAAATTTGGCTTTCATTTAAAGCTAAACATCTAAAATACAACTGCCAACTGCAGAAACATGCTTATAAAAATTTTTTTATTTTTCATATAAGTATTTAGCGAAAATTTTTAAATTATAACCACAGCATTCAGCTGCACTCACCTCAGTTTTAACAAAAGGCCGGCGAGTAAGGCGCCAACACATCAATTTGCTTGACCAACCTCGCCGTTGGTGTTTCATTATGAAACCAAAAGCTCCACTTGAATGAAAAAGCGTGAAAATGCTTAACAGCTGAAAGAAGGTGGATGTTAAATGAAAATTGCAAAACGTTTTCGTATTTTGACCAACAACTAACTGTCTAGACAATTTGGAGCAATACGAATGGTGGTTTTGTGTAAAAACGGCAAATACGACAATAGAAGCGTGTGTTAAATACGTGGGAAATGAATTGGCGGTTCGACAAAAGGTAAGAGGAGAGGCTAAGATGAGCGATGGAGAAAAAATTAAAAATTGCCGACAAATATTA